CCCCCTCCAATGCACAATTGATCTTTACCCTTTCACCCGTGTATGTTACAGCCTGTTCCACCACCCCAAGCTGTACAAGCACATCCACAAGGTGCACCATGAGTGGACGGCCTCCATCGGCGTGGTGTCCATCTACGCCCACCCCGTGGAGCATGTGCTGAGCAACATCCTGCCCCCGGCCCTCGGCCCCCTCCTCATGGGTTCCCACCTGGCCACCACCTGGATGTTCTGGGCCATCGCGCTCCTGTCCACCACCGTCTCGCACTGCGGCTACCACTTCCCCTTCCTCCCCTCACCCGAGGCGCACGACTTCCACCACCAAAAGTGAGCCGTGATTACTTAACGAATTTCCTTTTGTTTTGTAAACCGTGATTACTTACCAAATTTCCTTTTGTTTTGTAAGCCGTGATTACTTACCAAATATCCTTTTGTTTTGTAAGCCGTGATTACTTACCAAATATCCTTTTAAAACTTTACCAAATATCCTTTTGTTTTGTAAGCCGTTATTACTTACCAAATTTCCTTTTCTTTTATAAGTCATGATTACTTTACCAAATTTCCTTTTATTTTGTAAGTTGTAATTACTTAACAAATTTCCTTTTTGTTGTCAGTTGTGAGCAAATGGGTGTATGTTATTGTATGTTGCTAATTTTACATCTCTTGACTACGTAAAAAACCTCCTAACTCTTATTGGTCAGTCCTCCGAATCCATGTTTGTATAATATGGTCAAGTGAAAAATAGGACATGATGGTACTTCCTTTCTTTGCGAGAATTCAATGCTCGAAGGTACATTTTTCCAGTGGTAGCATTGTGTCACTGACAATTTTATATCTAAAATCCCAGTCGTTTTCCCAATCAAAATTGTAACTAAAATACTGTTTCAATACACCTAGCTGTTTTTTCTGCCTTCAATTTTACTCTCTGCTTTTCCCTGAGGTTAGCAATGGTTATTTTTTTGTTTTGTTTTGCGAATGAGGAAGGTCCAAAGCCAAAATTGTTGGGGTACAAAAACTTAGGCTAATTCTGAAACAACAGCACCAATTTAATTCGGGCTATTCAGGAAAATCCATGAAATCAACTGTGGCTGAAAAGAGTTAATTAAAAAATGACTGTAGACTGTGGAGCAAAGCAGGTGGATGAATACTTTTGTTTTTTGACATTTGCATTTTCCCCCCCATTTGTAGTGCTGGAATAGACCTTTGATTTGACACCCATAGTGTTTGAGTCGTGTCAAAATGTGGCGTGTCAGTTATTGTGTCGTGCTGCTACACAAATCGCTACCTTAGAATTACACCGTCCTATCTGAAAAATTTTCCATTAAAGAAATTTCGAGTTTCACAATCTGTCGAGCCTTTCAAAAAAGCAATTCTTTGAATATCTTGATGACGACTGCGGATAGTCTTACGATTTTGATAGAGCATATAAAATATTTGGTTTCTGGCCTCATGGTCTTAGTAACTTAAAACGTCTCAATATGTCAGAGAGACTTTGTAATTCTGAGGTAGCAAAATGTGTTCAAAATCTGTTGTTTCTAACAGCTGGGTTACTTCTGTCTAACGACTGTCTGTACATATCTCAGGTTCAACCAGAACTACGGAGCCCTGGGCATCCTGGACCGACTGCACGGCACCGACGCTCAGTTCCGCAACTCCCTGGCGTACCAGCGCCACTTCCTGTTGCTGTCCATGGTCCCTGTCTCCCAGCAGATCCCGGACCCACCCAAAAAGAACAAAGCCGAGTGAGATGTTCCAAATATATGACTGACTTGGGGGGGTGGGGGGGGAATGGGGTGAGAGACACACCATATGATCTTGAAATTTGGAACACTTTTTTTTTCGTATTTTTGTGTAAACACTGGTTTTCTCCTATTTTTAGGATGCAATTTTGACATTGTATACTTACCTGGTCAAGAAAAATGATATATAATTTTTTCTGTTTTTTTTTAAAATTTAAATAATTTTTGTATAATGACCTCTCACAATATTTTATGTTTAAGATCTGAAATGATTTGTAAACACCCTAAAAACTGAACAGATGCTCATGTCTTTCTGCGACTCTTAGGGTGTGGGGAACAGTCATTCCCTGCTCTAACCACTGGCAATATTTCGCTTGTCTGCCAGTTCAGTAAATCCCCCCCAGCATATTTTGACAGCTGCCAGCGGGTGAAAGTGAATGACTTTGACTTATGTGAATGGTGGGCTTTCCCCCACAGTGTTCACAACTTAAAGGATTACAGAATCTCCTGTGGGTATTATAAGAAGGGACCTTTTTAGGGGGGGGGGGAATTTTCTTATTTTTGTGTTTGTTGTTGTAGTTCACTAGATCTGATGGGCCGCAGTGTTCGCTCAGTTCATAAAACACTGGTCTATTATATGGGAATCCTGAATTTGAATACAATCTCGAAAATGCGGTTGTTTTGCACTGGTCTTATGGGCGTCCTGAATTTGAATGCAATCTCGAACATTAAGTTTTTGGAACTTTTTGGATAATTTAATTAAAATGAATTGTGTTGAAATGGATGTAAATCTCAAATTAAGATCTGGTGAATGATGAAGATGTCTCATGTCTTTGTCTCTTTCTCGTACTTCGGTCAACTTGTAAAGGAGAACTTCATCAGTGGCAGAGACGTGGAGGCTCTGAGGGGCTAGCTACAGGGTAGAGTTGTGGCATGCTGCAGGCTGTTTCACCTTGTTGATACGACCAGCTGAACCCCAGCAGAGTAAATTTTACAGGACAAATAACATTTTTCTTTTTCTTTCATCACACACACAGACCTGACAGCCAGTGGGTTAGTAGGTTTTAGGAGCATTTCCAGTCAAAATTTAGGCCTGTCTTTGACTGAGTAGGCCTATATGAAATGAATAATTCACTATGGATTCGTCAAATAAAAGAAAAATTGCTATTGTGTGGGGTAGCTGATCTTATCACAAGAGCGACGATATGATGCCTGGCATAACTAGACGTCTGATACGATTGTTTTTGACGACAAGTTTTACAACGATGTCAGGTCTTTTGTGATGCCCTCTCTTTTGGAGTTTGTCTCCAGATGTAGAGCTCTACTTGCTGTCTCACCAAGATATGAGAAACTTCTGTCATGGTATTGCATTGTCACTGAGCTTAGATTGGGCCTGGTAGATCGCATGTTGTCTATGGCAAGGAGTTTGTTTCAGTTCGTCATCGTGCCAGCTCACCGCTTGGAATTTTTTATATTTTCTTTCTTTCTTTCTAATAACATGCTTCAGGGATGTACGTTTGAGCTTTTTGCTTCTTTGAGATGATTGGAGAACTGGTGTTGTTGCTCAGTGAACTGCCGTCTGTTCTCTTTCATATAATTGCTGTACTTTGTTCAGTTGCTAACTGTGGGTGGTTGAGTGGTTCTCTAATGTGGTTTTCTTCTTCTTTTCTTTCAACCATCTAGGCTTATTGTTCTTATCTCACATCCTCCTTTGTTTGTATGTTGCTCTCTTGTCATGTAATACCTCTACAGCACTTAGGTAACCTATTTGTTTTGCAAGTATCGTAAAACTCTCTCACTCAAAACTCAAAGTTACGAACTCAACTGATGTGCAGCAGGTGGGGCTTTAAGCCTGAGTGCTGTCAGAAGGTTTCTCTCTCTGTGTCTAAGGCTGTTCATATCAGCCTGGTATTTTGTGGAGGGAAGCAAGTTCTCTGAGGTCAAACTGACCTTTTCCCTGTCTTGTTGAGCACTGTGGTTGGTTAAAGAAGAACCTGAGAGGACTAACATTGTGTGTTCAAAGGTGTTTGTCTCTGGTCCAACCAGACTCATTACTCATTTGTGGAAAGAGAGAATATGAAAATACCAGACAGTTTCTCATTCGAGCAGTTGAGGCATTATAACCTGTAGAAACATCTTTGTTTTGATCTTCCTTGTAATAGTAATACATGTAGTGGGATTATGAGGCCTTCGTCACTGGCACTTCTGGTCTTACGGTAACAGTTAAGCTCTTCGTTTTGCACGCTAAAAACCTAAGTTTGATTCGTTATGGGAAATTTTATGAAGAGTCTCAGTCTTCCTGCTGGAATCTGTGTCCCACAATGGTTGGCTGGCCCTGACAGCTGGGCAGAACCAGCCTGCCTCTGAAAATAATGACTGAAATGTCAGTGGGAGTACTTTCTCGTGTCATTGCTTAAATATGATAAAGGTAGAACTGTTGAGAGAAAGCCTCTCAGGTTCTGTGAACTTTTGCTCTCTAAAATATTTTCTTAAACTAATACATGTGTAATAATAGACTCTTCTGCTCTTATTTTCCTTTTTGTTCTAACCTCTTATTGTAATTGTGTGCTTGCCTTGTTATCCTGGAGTGTTTTGCTTATCAAGTCCAATGCGACGATGCATTGTAAAAAAATTGCTGTGCTAGTGATTGCAGTGGTGTCATTATTTTGTTAGTCACGGTAATCAGGATCATGGTGTGATGTGTATGGGTTGAGTTTTCTGCACAGAATAGGACTCTCCCAGTGGGGTTGTTTTTTTTGTTTGTTTGTTGTTGTTTTTTTTTTTGGGGGGGGGGAGGTTTGGGGGGGGGGTTGGGGGGGAGGTTTACCTCCATTGATCTACAGTGTTTTCACTTTGTTGCAGTGAGCTCAAGTATTGAGAGTTTGCCAAACGATGCTCTCTCCATCGATCTGTTCGAACAATGTCTTCTGTTGCTCTGATACTAGTTTTGCTCTTTTGTTGTTTTTTGCTGTGTCTGATTATTTTTCTGCATGGTCACAATTTGTGAGGGAAAAACATTTTGATGCAGTGCAGGAAAAAAAACGATGTCCTGATATTCAAATACAGTGGAACCTATCTAAAAGTAAAACGCCTATGTTTTGTTGAAGAGAAGGGGAGAAAAGTGTCTGTCTTATACAGTGTCATTTTTTTATGATGTAGAAAAAATACTCAAGAGAGGAAATGGGAAGTGGCTGTTTGTACAAGTGATCGTCTTTTACAGGTGGCCGTTACAGAACGTTTTACTGTACTTGTTCCTCTCTAGGATGCTGGGAGAAGCAGAGATGAATAAATTGGAAGGTTTTCTTTTGTTTGAGGGCTTTCTGCAATTTTGTGACGAAGTAGGCTTTCAAGAATAAAGAAGTAAAAGACCCCACAGATAATATGGTCAGTTTGTAAAGACTAATAACTAATAGGAATGTAGCCTACAATAACAGGTGGGGTTTTTTTTCCCAGACGTTGGAGGGTATGATGTACCAACCCTCTTCACTATGTGGTTTCATTGAAGATAAAAAAAGTTTTCTAAGTGGAGTGACTACTATACTTAATCAGATAGTGTTTAAGTCGTTATTGTGTTTTTTGTGTTTCTGCAGTTTTTTATTTTTTTAATTATTTTTTTTTTGGTCTTAACTTTCCTATTTCTGGTCCAGTGGTCCATATCTAAGATGTTGACGATTCACCTTTGGTCCCCCCAGGGTTGGGTTGATTTAAATCAGTTGATTTTTTTGATTTAAATCAACTTGATTTTTTAAATAAAAATCAGTGATTTAAATTACTTTAAAATTTTTATATTTTTATTCAGTTTTTACACATTTCAACATTCAGAATTCCTTTCCTTGGTTTCATAAAACAGATATAAGGTTTAGTAGACTAATATAATCATGCTTAAAAGTCTGCTTTCCCCCCTTTCACTGTAAAATAATACAGTTCTCAATTTACTTTTTTTTCCATAATTGAAATCAGAGCTGGGTTGATTTAAATCAGGTCGATTTAAATCAGTTGATTTTTTTATATTTAAATCAACTTGATTTTAAAAATAAAACTCAGTGATTTAAATCACTTTAAAAAAATGTATTCTGTTTTTACATCTTTAAACATTCAGAATTCCTTTCCTTGGTTTTATAAAACAGATATAAGGTTTAGTAGACTAAAATAATCATGCTTAAAAGTCTGCTTCCCCCCCCTGTCACTGTAAGTAGTAAAGTAATGCTGTATTCAATTTACTTTTTTTTCATAAAATTGAAATTATCATTTTCTTTTTGTTTTTAAACAAACACAAGCGCGCACACACACACACTGTAATAAAATGCAAGTTTATCTATGCATAATTACCCCTCCCCCTTCCTTTTAGACTGACATTTTCTTCATCTTTTGTCTGTAGCCATAATTCACTGATATAGCAGATTAAGGCTTTCCAAAATTGCAGTTGCTTAAATTAATCATTAGTTAAAATAAAGACAATGCATTTTGCACTAAAAGAACTTACTTTTAGCGACCAAAAATCCCAAACTGTGTCGACATTTTTTTTTAAATAAAAAAAATTTAAAAAATCAGATTTAAATTTAAAAAATCAGATTTAAATTTTAAAAATCGATTTTTTAAATTTTTATTTAAAAAATTTAAAAAATCAAAAAAATCACCAACCCTGGGTCCCCCTTTTCTTGTGAAGAGTGAGAGGGAAAACAAGATGAATTTTAGCTGTTCCAGTTTCCAGATTCACTATGAGGTAGTGTTGGCCTGATCTGACCGATTTGAGTTGTCAGTCAATTATTGCAGATTCTTCATGCAGTGCAGATCAGACGTAGAAATACATCAGTAAGAGGAAAATATTCTAGCTCCGTCATGGATTGTTCCCCACTCAAGATGAACTTTTCCCTGTTTGGCCCTAACGTTCCACTTGTGAGTAAATTGTAGCGAAGGAATCTTAAGTGAAGGCTGTATCATGCAGATCTTCTCATTTTGAGTTTTTCTCTCTTGTCTAAGTGGGTGGTTGGCGGGTGCTCTGGTGTGGTTTGCTCCTTCTTTCCTATCAAACATCTATCGTCCTGATCTCTCCTCCTTGTTTTTTGTGTTTGTTTCTTTCTTGTAACACCTCTAATCTTCGGCATTTATATGACCTTATTGTGTTGCAAGTGCCGTAAAACTTACTAAAACTAAAAACTCTCTTGTCTAATCTTGTTTTCATCCCATATTTTCTGTGTTGTCTACTTCAGCTGGTAATTGGCAACAACTGACTCACAGACTGGCAGTGGGTTTTTTTTTTAGGTTTTGTCTGTACTTTTCTCCTATGTGTGTAGAATTCTCAGTGTATACTCTTCTCTGTCGACACAAGCGAGAAAAAATGGTGACAGTAGGGTTAGGTTTATTAAATTTTGTTTTTTTTGAGGACCAAGTTTTAAGACTTCCTGCTGTTTTGCTGGAAGGAGTCATGTACATATATAATATATGAACAGATTTTTTTGCCTAATCAATGCAGATTAACTTTTCTTGTATGTGGTACCGGTACCTTACTGTGATTTTGTCAATGGCGTGTCCATTTATTTTTTTTTAGAACTGATATGAACAAACACTTTTGACCAATAAAGTTCCCTGATAAGTTTTGACCTCTCTGGGTAAAATTCTCAGATTCTGATTGGCCATGTTGTGAGATATGCACGCTCTGCAGCTTTGTTCAGATGAAGTAGTTAACGTTTTTTCACGGATGAAATTGTTGTACTTTTACCTTGCTGTTCCCTAGATCGACCCAGCGGTTGATGCACAGTGTGCTTCTCAGGCTTCGAATTTATGCCAAGGGCATTCCTGAACAAGATATTTTCATGCTTGCTTTTTTTTTTTTTTTTTGGTTGATGTTTTCATGATTTTTGATTTGCTCTGGAAAAAGAGAAATGTGGTATACATGATGCATTTCTTTTCTTATGAGACCTAAATCTTTGACAGGCTTAGAATGTCAATCAAAAGAAATAAAAGATGGCCCCAGGACATTGTGTTGAATTTTTTTTACCGCTTGGGGATGATTTTGAGATATCCCATATCCACATTCATATGCTTTTTTTATATTTTGATGCATAGCTGCCAGCTTTTTTAAAAAAACAACTTATGTCGCGTGTCATGCATTTGCTAAGTAACTCCCCCTCCGAACACTTCCCACACACACTTTTGTGCATTTAATAACCTCAAGGTATTTTAGTGGAGCTTTATTCCACCAATAATGTGAGAAATGGTTAAGGACACGAAAACCCCCACTGATGTTTGGGCATCAATCAATCTCATTATTATTAGCAAATCTGGTCTTGAAAGTTCATAATCAGCAAGTCTGTGGGAGGAATAAACAGACAATGCACATTTTTGGACACAAAAATGGACTTTCATTCTCAGATCCTCAAAAATGGATGAAAGCATTTTTGACGTACTAGTTGGCAGCTCTGTTCAAGGCCTGCTACATGTTCCGTTGAAACTGACAGATTTCCGTCTTTTTTTTGTGTGTTACAAGAAAATAATGCATGGTGCAATCTTTGTAAAAATACGTTTTTTTGTGATCTTCAAAATCCAACTAGAAAAAGAGTCATCATCCCCTGAGTCTTTCTCATTTGATTTTTAAAGATCGGTAAAAAAATTATTTTTTTCATCAAAAATCATGATTGGACCATGTATTATTTATTTTCTTGTAGCACAAAGAGAATGGGACACTTTTCAGTTTGAACTGAGCTATAACACCCCCTTAAATTAAAGTTTAAGTGTTTTTGAGAAAACCAAGGGTTAGTCAGTACTGAATATACAAAGTTTCTATCTCATCCATTCATTCAAAGAAAAAGAACCTTGAAGGCATCCGACATGATAGGCACACCATTTATTCATCTTGCAGTAGGCAATGATGGATGTGAAGAGAGGCAGGAAGTTATGAATGAATGTACGAGTCACAATGTTGTCTTTCTTATTTATATATCATCAAAATATTCATCATAATATATATAAATTTGTATATCATAAAGGTTTGTGGTACACATTTGAACCAACCAAACAAAGACAGTTGTCATAGATATTTCATCATGTAGATTTAGGAAAAGTATTCACGAAGAGTTTAGGTTCAGTCTTGTCACCAGCCATAGAGTACTTCTTTCTCTCATGTAGTCTGTACATACATTCTATTTACCGATATGTACAACAACAAAATGTCGTTATGTTACACAGCGACAAACCAACGCCTTCTCGTGAAAGCAACACACTAACCTGGTTGATGTTCATAAATATGTAGAGAGAAAAATTCGTCCAATAATATCTAGTCATTATAAAGCAAAAAAGAATTTTACAGACACAGGGTTCAAATTTTTAAAAAGCACCTACACAAATATATTCTGTATATATATATATATATATAATATATGTTCGTCCAACTCAGAAACTGACACATCATAGCCCTCGTCAAGCTCGGACTCCACTACCTTTGCTTGGGAAGTGACCTAAAACACTGTACATGTTATATATATTGTCAACAAGCTACGGTAAGTCAAACATGGGCCAAAATAAAACTGACCAACAACAAATTTCCAAGATTAAAAAAAAAAAAAGAAAAGAAAACCTGAAATCATTCTAATGGCCTGGACGAGAAAGAGACAAAAATGAAATGAGGATATCTTTTTGTCTCTTTACTCAGTCAGAACTATGGGAAAAGACGTCAGCCATCATTATCCTAGCGTGTTGACAATATTCTCACATGGGTAAAGTGAATCGGGGGTGGGGGGGAATTGTTTACAATAAAAGGTATGGTGGTGGCACTATGCGAGGACTTGGCCGCAACGCCAAACTGACAAAATTGATGATGCATCACATCTGTTTATGAAATGAGTAACGGTTTACACACACACGGCGTACATGTCATCAGGCACATGGTTGTCATGCCAAGTCTGACCTGCCCTGTCACTATGACTAATAGTAGCCTCACATCTATTTTGTACAAAGTCCCTCTTTACTAAAGTACATTTTGGACACAATAGTTGTGAGGCGACGCAATGTCTCCAGTGTGTGCAATGTACAGAAGGTAACCAGTCTGCTCAATGCCTGCTCCACACAGACACCGACACCACAAGTCCTGGATCATTTCCTCACTCAGACACACACCACAAGTCCTGGATCATTTCCTCACTCAGACACAACACACAAGTGCACATCGCGGTACTCAAGAGGTACTCGGTACTCAAGAGGTACTCATGCAACTCAATCACTCTATTTGCCTACACGTACACCAAACCAGAAACCGGCGGACCAAACTTTCTCCATCTCTTGGGGAACTGGTAGTTGAAATAGATTATAGAGCACAGAGTTTTTAAATATATTTTTGGGATCTATGTTAATAAGTAAAAAAATTGTGTTTGAATGTGTCCACCACGGTGACCCAACTCCTCCAGACAAAACTTGTGGCAGTTGGAACGCCGCTTGCAGCAATTTAGTCGGGTTGTCTGAGACTCATCAGCCACAGACTCGGCCAGAGCAAAAATAAAAAAGTCTAATCTTAAGTTCCGATGAAAAAATCTAATGTCTTCATATTCCAAATCAGTGCCTCAAAATTTGTAAAGTCTGTGTACAACCACCAGTATATATATATCATAATATATGCATATAAACAATTTACTAAATTTTAAAAAAAAATTGTTTCTGTTCCATTATTCTTGCTCCCATTCCTTAACCTTTGACCTGTTCACACATGCTATAAACGCCCAACTCCACAAAAATTGAGTTGGTTCCAGTTTGGTGAACACACAGCCTCACAAGCACAATCCAGGCCTTAGTGCTGTCAAAAATGATAAATTTGACAAATGCTTTGCAGAAAAAAGCAAATCAATTAAGCATCCAGTAAAATAAAATGAAAATGTGTAACCTTTGAGAGTCTAAGAAAGAATATCAGTGACCTTACAAGTTTGTTCGTTTTCACAAGTGACATAAGTGTTCAGACTTCCAATGAGCAGCGAAGCATTTTAATCTTCACCATGATCCTTTGTAGGACAAGATCAAGACAAAACCAAAGAGAGGTAAAAATACTTCCAGCGTCCTATTTGTGAAGCAGTGTTCGTCAAAAGAAACTTTGAGCTGCACAGCAATTCGTTTATAATGAGTTGTTCATGTCTGTGATGAGGACAACAGTCTTTGTATGTGACCTAGAATCAGAAGCGTCCACGTATATACCTACTCCAAAGATATATGTTTGAAGTTCTGTGTATTTGAAATCCCCCCCCCCCCCCCACCCACCCATCTTTAATTAAAATGTTCAAAATGTCGGAAATCTTAAGCCTCTTGGCAGTTAGCTTTTATTTATTTTTTTTACTAACGTGAAGATGCTCTCTTCCTTGCTTCCTGGCAAACTCTCTCCCACAGGACACCCACACACACACACACACACACACAAACGCAAGTTTTTATACAGCATTGGACTATGTACAAATATCACACATCATTCACATGTTCGGCAGTTTAAAAAACTTGTGTATAGAAAACATAAATGAAGTGCCCCCAAAAACGAACACACAATTGGAACATTGTCTACAAATTACAAATGTTGCTAAGTCACAGTTCATTGCACACTTGTTAGTAGTTCATGCCGCTGATCCAGACTCACTCTCAGGATGAAGAAGACTCTTTCTCTCTCTCATTCTCACTCAACTGTCTCTTAATTCCTTCATCACATCAGTCTCTTGCATCAGTTTTTTTACTACTACTACAAAAGGTTTTTTTTCTTTTTTCCACGGACAACTTGACATTTGCGGAGTGCGACATTTTGCACTTCATATCTCATGAAAAGTTGGTGGTTTCTCAGATGTAACTAAGAAACATAAAAGCAGGCAGTATAATTCACATCAAGCAATGACATCACGGCCGCTAACACAATATCAAGTTAAGGTTTACCAACGGCTTGTGCCAGAGAGCAAAGTACTTGATAGTGATATAATGATCAGCAGACGATAATCAGAAATCCCAACATGTAGCGAGGCCATTTCTGGGAGAAAGCCTGGCCTCCAGCGCGGCAAAAACTGCTCACATCGACAGAACCCACTTGAGGAGACGTAGTTCACACTACGCAGAGACTCAGAATGTCCCACAAACAACCTTCACCCCTCTGGGACTCAATCTGTGATTCACCACCACATTCTCACATTCTAGACGCAAGTTGCAAAACTGTTTGAAAACTACAGTCGAACCTGCTCTCTAACGGCCACCTATCAAAGAAAATCACCTGTACAAACCACCACTTCCCACCTTCCATTTTTACTATAATATTATAATGACACTCTCGAATAAAGCCTCCTTTCTAAGACAAAAGAATTTCTCCTTGACAATGGCTGGCTGTCTCGGACAATTTCAACTGAACTTGAAAATGAGCAAAACACATACTGACCACATTCAGACCGCTACTGTCTCCATTAGCCATTACTAATGAAATGAACACCTGGCTTCCATTTTCTCAAAACAGCATTTTCCGGGATAGCCCCCTTGTGCTTAAAAGCCACCAAATGTGTGTATGTCTCCCCTAGAGGCAATCTGTTGGAGAACAAGCTATTATAAGGATCCATTTAAAAATAGATGCAAGTTCTGAGAATATACAGAGACATTGATGTGGTGGTAGCAGTGACAGTGTTTGAGAACAAAAAGCTGCTGCTGTTGTTTTTCTTGTAGCAGAGAAGACAGGTGGTGAGAAAAGAAAGGAAGCTGGGAAGTAGAGACAATAAAATTGAAGGAATGATCTCAAGATGTGACCTATATTTCTCTAAATGCCATTATAGTCTTGACGTCCCCCTATCAAGAATTGAGTATGACAGCATCTGTCAGTGTCAGTACAACTATATCTGTCAGTGCCAGCGGGGCATTCATTTGTCTGTATGTACAGAGATTTGTGTGACCAACAAGGGAATTAAAAGAGAAAGCAGATGACTTTTCCATAAAATTTTAGCAAATTTTGATAGTTTAAAAACAAAGGTTTTCTGTCAAATGCTTAGAGATCTTCAAATAAAAAACTATCAATAATAGGTAACTTTCACTTATTTCATATTTTACGTCTTTTTTAAAAGAATAAAAGTTCACTAAAAATGTACTGATCTCACACTTACGGTCTGATTTAGGATGACGAAAAAAGCTTTAAAAATTTTCCAAATTGCACGGGGGTCTAGAAGAAGGGGTTTGAACACACAACATCGTACAGCGACCAAGTGAGAACAAACAGTGACACTACAGCAACAGGAGGCAAACAAGAGCAGCTCAGAGAGAGGAAGAGAGAGAGAGAGAGAGAGAGAGAGACACGACGCCTGCCACTACTCCTATCTGTGAGCCGACGCGTCCAGGTGACCGCCGTAGTCCGGTATACTTTTCTTCAACTCTTGGATCTGCTCCCCTCCGAGAGTGATCTTGTCGTCCAGTTCTTGCAGCTCAATGGTCAGTTTGGACTTCATCTTGATGTAGTGGCTGTAGTCGCTGAACTCCGAGTCCTCCAGCCGGTCCCGCAGAGTGGCTGAGAGCTGCTCACTCCGCTTGTCGATGTCGTCCTTGAGCAGTTTGGCTTCTTCGTGCTTGGAATGCAAACGCTCGCGCTTGTCGATGGTCATTTTCTGAGGGGGAAACGGAAAGACAAAAACCACATGAAGAAAGTCGGAGGTATTTAGTTTTAGCACCGTAAGAGTTTTACAGCACTCGCAACACAATAAGGTCATATAAGTGTTGAAGAATAGAGGTGTTACAAAACAGTAACAAACACAAAAAAGAAGGAGAGATCAGGACGATGTTTGATAGGAAAGAAGGAGCAAACCACACCAGAGCACCCACCAGCCACCCACAAAGTCTGAGGAATAGCATAAATACACAAGGGTATGGTTTTAGGGAGAGTTTTACTTTGCTTGTAACACAAAAAGGTCACATAAGTGTTGAGGATTAGAAGTGTTACCAAAGAGTAGCATAAAGCAAAGAAAAGAAGGAGGAGAGATGTTGGATAGGAAAGCAAACATTAGACCCAATAGAGGGATTAACATTAACCAGTTTCTACCTACTAGACAGGCTGTTTTCACAAGCACATGAAGTACGTAAGATACGGGACATAAGCACATGAAGTACGTAAGATATGGGACACAAGCACATGAAGTACGTAAGATAAGGGACACAAGCACATGAAGTACGTAAGATATGGGGCACAAGAACTAAGTAAGGGTGGACAACGAACAATGTGGACTGACAATATCTAGACATTGACTGACATAAACATGATGGACGGTATGGTGGCAGCTAACGACCGTAATCATTGAAGGGTCATTACATTTCATGTCAACCTCTGAGCCACAGATGACACCTCTCGGAGCCAGGACAAGTTACTCACCTTGAGCTTTGGGTCAGCGTTGGCGGCCAGGGCCTGCACTGCATTCTCGGCACGCGCCAGTTGGCCAGACAGGTTGAGCAGGAGACGGACAATCTTCTCCAGATCCTCGATGTAGGTTTTGAACTTGCCCCTCTCGCTGCTGCTCTGACAGCGCGACTCCACCAGCTTGCATACCTGGACAGACACACGAGGGGTGTTATGTTCAAGTCTCTCTTCAGACAGTGTACGGGGAGACAGTGTACGGGGAAAGGTTGTGTTACAAGGAGATGGCACAGGGTTTGAGCTTAGTTTCAGTAAAAGTTCTTAAAGCATTTGCAGAACAATTAGGTCACACAAGGGCTGAAGATAAGAGGTGTCACAAGATAGCATCCTTCAAAGAAAAGAAAGAGGAGAGATAACAACAAATAGATGTTTGATAGGAAAGAAGGAGGGAACCCCACAAAGGAACCCATCAGCCAACCCCACAAGGAGATGGCACAGAGCGTGAATCACCTGGGACAAAGTGTACAGAAAAGTTGGAAGTCCACCAAAAAAATAATTTTTTTTTAAAAAGAAGAGAAAAATAAGGTCCCTTTAAAAGGGCATTAAACCTTATTTAGCAGCGTTCCTTAGCATCAAGTGCTCGTGAGCAATAAAGCATCAAGCAGCACACACCACTGATGTGCATGTATGCATTTATAATGTCGCAGCAAATTTCTCTTTATATGGGAATCAATAAATCGTTCCTTATTTGTTAAGTTTTAATAAGTTTTACGGCACTTGCAAAACAATAAGGTCATATAAGTGCCGAAGATTACAGGTGTTACAAGAGAGTAACAAACACAAAATAGAAGGAGGGGAGATAAAGACAACAGACGTTTGATAGGTAAGAAGAGGCAAACCACACCAAGGCACCAGACAACCACACACACAAGGAGATGACACAATGTGCATTACATGTGCGTGAAAGCAGTTATGATGTTGCAGCAAATTTCTCTTTGAGGAGATGAATAAATTAAATAAATTGTATCTTATTTTTGTGAGTAACAGGTAAATCCTATGAGAACCCACCACCCCATTGACGACACCCCACTGACCATGGGTGTACATAAAAAGGCGTGCTAACAAAATGAGTTACTTCTCGCATTCCACAGATGGAGATATTGGCCAAAAATCGACACTAGGGTCAAATTTGTAGATTTTCTATTGATGTCATATTCTCTAAGTATAAAAAGCCTTTTACTATTTCATACTTAAAAATAGTAAAAACTTCACCTTTAAGCGTGGTATACCTATTTCCATTGGGCTCGAATCCAAGAAGTAATTCATTTTGTCAGCACGCTTCACATATACTGATTTAACTGACCACACCCCACTGACCATGGGTATACATATACTGATTTAACTGACCACACCCCAGTGACCACAATAGTACTGACCTGCATGCCCAGCTGATTGTTCTCGGAGATCTCCTGCTGCAGCACCACCTTGGCCTCCTTCAGAACCTCCAGCTTCTTGTGGAGTTTGCCCAGTAGCTCCTCCTGGTGGTGGTCAAAGGGAGAGGGAGGGGGAAGGGGGGGGGGTTACAGGGGTGGTTAGATCGCTGGATTAATTTCAAGATACACACACATACACACACACGACACTCACACACATACACACACACATACACACACATACACACACACACACGCACACACACACACACACGCACACACACATACACACACATCCATATGGGGTACAAGGATGGTCAGATTGCTCCACTAATTACAATACAAGCATGCATACACAGACACACACCCACACCAACACACACACACACTCACACACACACACGACTGTACTTTTGCCTCTAAGTCTGTAGGACTTATTTGCAAGAAATGGAGTAACAAGACCGCCATCAACACAAGCCATTTTTAGAAAA